GAGGGGATTTTAGGGGGGAGGGAGGTGAGGGTTGAAGGGATGGGGATTTAAGGGAGAAGGTTTGAGGGAAGAGTGGGGATTTGAGGGGGTGAATGGGTGAGCACAGGGGTTTGAGGGTTGTTGGGGTGGGGGTGGGAGGGAAGAAGGTGGCGATTTGAATTGGGGGTGGGGGTGGGACGGGAGAAAGAGAAGGGGGACCGGGTGAGTACGTACGGCTTACAAAAATGAGAGGAAAGGAGAAGAAAAGGAGAAGAAAAGGAGTTTGTAAAGTGGGGTGGAGGTAGAGGGGAGGAATATCTATAAGGATGGATAATGGGGGAGGAAGAGAAGAGGAGAGAAACGAGGTGGAGAAAAATGGGGCGATCGTTGATGTTAAGCTGGGAGTTTGTAAACTGTTCTGCTTCTGTCAAGTATAATGCGGCAATAGGTCAAGTGAAAATAGAAATATTTCACCTCTTTCTGTTTCGTAAGTTTTTGTATGATACTTAGAGAGGAGGGGAGGTGGAGGTTATCTTTCTGACAGAGAAGTATTCAGCGATGGTGGACAGATAAGTGTATAAGACTTTTGGTCGAAACTGTGATGGTAAACAGCAGAAATACAGTTGTTGTTTTATTAAGGTATTCTCGAGAATGTTTGGCCAGGTGTTGTTTTAGTAGGGTAGATAATTCAACGTCTATGTCTGTTGTGGTCTACGTCACGGACTAGACAGCCAAGAGGAGGGGTGAATGAATGGGGCTGGTAGGAGGGCGGGGTTGCGATTGGGGGTGGGTTGGGGGAAGGTGGGTGGCTTAGAGAGGAATGGTAGGGGCGGGTGAGGATGGTGGGGTGGAGGTGATAGCTTGAGATGAAGGGCAGGGGGAAGGGGGTGGTGGTTTAGAGATGATGGGTAGGGGCGGGCTAAGAGCCCTTGTGAGAGAGGCGTGTGGCACAGCAGAGAGACAGCATGACCTTTGACTTGACTCCCCGGGGATTGTTGTCAGACGTGGCAAGACTGAGAGGGCGATTGTGAGGGAGATTGAGGAAGTATTGTGGGAGTAAGTGAGAGGGTGATTTGGTGGGCGACTGTCGGGGTGATTTAGGGGCAAGGGTGGGATTGCAGGGGTAACTGTGAGGGTGATTGTGTGGGGTCTGTTGTCTGCAAGGTCAGTCACTCTCTCTGACACAGGGCAACGCCCTTCTTCTTCAGATAATGCGGGATAAAAATGTCTTCCTCAAAACAATGTCTGTAAATCCGCTTAGAATTGTTAGAACGTGAGTAATGTCTTTGAGGAAGGAGGATCAGCTTCTACTGTCTTTTCTAGAATCACGTGAGATTCACAAGAAGCAAACAAATGTTACGACGAATTAATGCTCAGGTAGTCTGTCAGGCTGCCAAACTGAACACAAACGCACACGCATACACGTGCGAAATCGGATAAAAATCTTTACAGAGAAGAAACAGAATTATTGTGTTTTCTGCTGGAAACATTCAGTGAAATATCTCTACCACACATGTTCTTAGGCACCTGGGTTCAATGCCAAAACAAAGACAAGTTTTGTACAGGTCTGAACTGGTCCACCAAGCTCTGCCGCCTATTGTCACTTCGACACACGCTTCTTTCTTATCTCTCCAGCAACAACAAATGCCTTTCACAGACGTGGTGGTTCCCTTCCTCTACTGGTTCTTCTCTCTGTTACCTCCAGCGCCACAAAACATGAATAAATAAACACAGAGCCCCGAGTGTTGAGAGAGTATGAGCGGTGCCGGGGTTGTGTCATTGACAGCTCGGTTGTGGAGATTTATCTACCTACCCACTGTGTGCGTGGGGTTTATGGGTGGCGAACGTTAATTCCGGCTTCACTTACTTAATTCACTGGGATTTTTGTTCTTTTCACCAGATCTTCTGCACAACGGTTGTGAAACGGTTACAATTCAATTTCGCTGTTACGTTATCAGAAGGGGCAATTTATTTCTCTTGTGCCGCAGGCAAATGCTAATAACGTTCCGAATGTATGCCCAGTGTTTGGTTGTAGACACACGCACCAAAAAATGCCCAACGACAAAATAACGAAGACTTGAGGTGCAAAGTGGTTGATTCTCCGATGTCTGGACAAAACTTTTGCCTCTTTATTTGAGACGAAAGTGCCCTTGATAGGATATGAGTCAGCGGCGGATCGAGTGCTTGCAGAAGCCGGCAGTGTCGTGCGCACTTGACTTTACTCTCCACGCGACGAGAGCCTCTTCAGACCAGTTCTTATAATAAATCATTAAAGGTAGGCGCACACGCAATGGTGGAAGAGATCTTGCGCTGTTTTTCTTACAGAGAAAAGTGAAAAACACATTGAGGAACTGGTCAGCAGGTCCGGGTGAGAATGAAACTCGTCCAAGTTGTTTTTTTTTCTCCCACAAAAATGTAATCAGATATAACTGCGTTTACCGCCTGGAAAGAGAAGAGCTCTTGAAACTGCAGACATGTGGTAACCGCAAATCGTTGGGTGTTTGGCGGAAACCAGTTGGAGGTGTATCCGAGAGGTCGGTTATTAAGACCAAAGAGGTTGATTATTGCGACCAGAGAGGTCGGTTATTTCGACCAAGTGGAAACTGTAGCAGTTAGCCCGTCCGTCGTACCCGGAAGGCGTGAAATGACACAAATGAAGAATAATCAAAAAGGAAAATCCTATGAAGTCCTTGTCAGTGAAGTATCAACCTTTTCTTCTCCGCTGACTGTTGAGAGGAGTGAAGATCGACCGTGGCTTGGGATCAGCCTTGTTGTAATAAGAAAGGCGAAGCGGACCCAAAGTTTAGCGAGGTCGGAGCGACTATTGCATTATTCCGGTCGGCGATTCGGGCGAGGGGTGAGGCCAGTGTAGCGACAAACTCTAATCCCTGGCAGCTCAAGCGGTGAGCCCGACCCCCTCAGCTTGACCCGTGTCGCACACACAGGGCTTTGGACAACGCTCTCCACTTACTCAATCCTGGCGCTTCTTCTTTTGCCACACTACTGCTGCTGTTGTTGTGCAGTGGTTGTTGTTGTCGCTCAAAGTGGTTGTAGCTCAAAGTGGTTGTAGTCGTTGTTGTTGCTAAAAGTGGTTGTAGTCGTTGTTTGTAGCTCCAAGTGGTCGCAGCCTTTGTTGTCACGAGAGTTGCGGTTTTCGACGGTGGTCGTCCGTCTTCTATTTTTTCGTCAACACGATAATATCCTTTTGCACTGTTCTCTACCAATATTCAGCTGTGCAGGGAGATCAAATGTCCGAATACGTGAACAAAACACAACAGTAATTACAGTTGTTTTTTTCTTTTCTGGTGACAATAAAGTACATTCAAATATTCCGATCCGAGTTATATGAGCAGTTTTGAATATTTCCTTCTGGACAGTGTACTCAGCACAAAACTTTCTAAAAAATCACACGCGTTATCCTTTTGTTCGTTCACCTTCCTGTCTTTCTTCTTTCTTTCTTTCCTTCCTTCTTTCCTTCAGTGCCAAGTCCCCAGCCGACAACCACCAGCAGGAGATCCAAAACCGGCCGGCCAAAAATGACAGGTCCAACAGGTCCTCAGACAGCGACGGTCAGAGAGAGATGACGTAGGTATAGTATAGACTGAAGAATATCTGCTGATGTCCGTGTCTGTCAGCAGACGAGTCTCACTTTCTTGTCTTTCCTTCAGACTTCAGACTTCAGACCTGCAGGAAGAGCAAAAGACAAAAGAATCATGGTTGGTCGAGTGTCCAGTCAGCTGTTCACACTTCTAAACTAACACACACATAACCGCCACAAGTCCCCGACGGGGAAAACCACCCCCCAGTATGGTCCTTTATCCCAGGGAAGACGGTAACAGCTCTAGATTTTTAAGAGAGGTTTTAAACGGGATAAAGTCCTGGATAAAGACACCAAGACAAAAAAATCCCGTGGAGATTATGGAGGGATTACCAGCCCGACGAGCCGGCTTCTGCCAGGGTTGAGTTCAGGTCGGCCCAAAGTCTCACACTCAGGGTTTTTTTCGCACCATAGTTCTGTCAAGGGGTTTTAAAGTGTTAAGATAATATGTTTTGTAATGTTAACCCCCCCCCCCAAAAAAAAAAAAGAAAAAAAAAAGAAACCCATGAACAAAATTTTTTTTGGGGAAAAATTAACCAGGGTACTAAAGTGTTGAGATAATATGTTTTGTTATATAATATATAAAAACATTAAACGTGAGTGTTTTTACACTTCCATCGATACACTTTACACCTTACATAGGTCAAGAAGCGAGTTTCAACTCTGTCTAACAGGGCCAACCCGGGTTGAGAGGGCTGCAACGTCCCAGCAGTAAGACCGAGATCACTTGTTAAAAAGTCGTCTCGCCATTTTTAGAAAGACGACAGTAAGTTATCAAGAGAAAACCCAGCCTCCTTTTCAGCTGATTCATTCTTTTTTATCTTATCTCAAGCATGTGACAATCGACAATCTGTAGCTATTTTTTTAAAAAAGCTTATGCAAAGGAAAGTGACATTTCAACTTTAAGACCCCCCCCCTCCCCCACACAAAAAAACAACAACCCCACAACCAAAACAACACCAACAACAACAACAACAAAATAAACAAAACAAAACAAGCAAGATAAAAGCAATCAAAAGACCCCCTCCTCCTCCTCCCCCCCCCCCCAACCAAAAAAACTGAAAGTAACGAAACAAGAAAGCATTATTACTTTAGAAATGGTCGGTCTGTAAGTTAAAAGAGCACAGCTAGATAAAAGGTTTCTGAAACAGAACGTGGTCTTCTTATAGCAGATGTATAAGATAACAGAACTGATGGTACAAACAATAGCCCAGCGACCGCACCCATTCCACCATCACAATTCTCCCCTTGTCTCCCCAATACCGCCAACAGTCTCCATCAGTTTCCTCATTTACGATCAGCAGTCTGCCTTTCTCTCACCTTGTACTACCAGTAGTCTCACATTGCCTCCTTATTGAACCAACAAAAGTCTCCCTCTATCTCCTCTAAAGCCACAATAGCCTGTCCTTATAACACCAAGTCTTGGTTGAAGCAAATTGCAGACGACAGCTTCTAACGAATACACGAAAGCGACAGGTAAAGCTCATTGGACACACAATGCGGAAAGAAGCATTGGAGAATATTGTAAAAAAGGTTATGGAAAGAGAGGCAGAGGCAGATAGAGGGAAAAGATACTGGACAAGTTGACAACATGGCTAGGAACAGAGAGAACGACAGACACCATCGCCTTGACGCGAGACAGAGTGAAATGGAGGTCCATGATCGTCAACGCCAGTCGGCAAGGCACCGGATTATGATGATACCACCAATAGGCAAAGAAAGAGGTAGACCGACAACATTGCGGAGTGGACAGGGAAATCATTCCCACAAACTCATGCGCTAGCAAAAAAAAAAAAAAAAAAAAAAAGAAGTGAAAAATGGAGGCACCTGACGAGGCTTTCTATCATACAGCACCCCTACGATCCTGGTGGATTATGGGATCAGTAAATAGTAAAATAGTAATACCACCACGTGTCTTCCCTTGTCTCCCCTTGTACTACAAAGAGTTTCCCATAGAATCACAAATAGTCTCCATTCTTATCACCAATGGTCTCCCCTTATATCACCTATAGTATCCCCAGCATCACCAATAGTCTCCCCTTCTACCACCAAGAGTCTCCAATAGTCTCCTCGTACCACCAATAGTCTCCCCTTCTGCCATCAAGAGTCTCCCAATAGTCTCCTCGTACCACCAATAGTCCCCCCTCGTATCACCGTCAGTCCCCTCTTATATACCACCATTAGTTCCCCCTTATATACCACCAATACTCTCCCCTTATATACCACCAATACTCTCTCCTTATACATCACCAATACTTTCCCCTTATATACCACCAATACTCTCCCCTTATATACCACCTATAGTTCCCCCTTATATACCATCAATACTATCACCTTCTTCCACCAACCACCAATAGTCTCCCCTTCTACCACTACTGACTGGCCTCCCCTTTCCGCGCGAGTGACCTCCCACAACGGCTGACCGGACCTGACGACATTATACATCCTGACAGAGCTGACGAAGCGAGCCCTAATGGAGGCCGACGGGCCCCATGATTCCTACCTCTGGGTTTGCGCAAGGCAGCGTAAGAAAAACATTCATTTCTTTCTTGCTCCACCGAGCTCTTTCTCTGGCGTAATGAAGTGAGACGGGACTAGCTCTTAGAATGGCAGTTTTGAAACCGTTCCTCTCGAAATAATGAAACCCGCTGGCTAAGGGGGTAAGGGACGAAAACAAAAGGTGTGTG